TACAATTTATAATATTTTCTAAAACTTATGTACGATAAGGATTAAGCTAAATTTATCCACGAAGAAGAATTTCCTAATCATGAAAGTTTGCAAAAACATATTGAAATAGATGTAAAATATCATAAGTTGTTCAACTTGTTGCAAATAGTCATGATAAATGGTTATTATTCTCTGTTAATCTTCGCGTTTTGTTTGTAAATATTTATACTAAGTATATTTAAAATGCGAAGAAGAGTAGAATAATGTAATATCTGCTGATGGTTAAAAGTATTTATTTATATATAGGGTATGCCGTAAGCACTGTACTAGTTCTTGAATACCCGAACCGAATAGAATGGGTTCAAACAACCGATTTTCGTTTTTAAAATAGGGTTATTAAGTAAAGTATGTATTGGTGAACATTGCGTTGTTAATTTAAGTTAAGCAGAAATGTATTTTCCAGAATTAAAGTAATTTACGTCCATAACAAATTGTGTTTTTCAGTAAAATGAATACAAGGAAATATAATATTCGTAGCAAGTTATGTAATTGATTTTCAAACATTATACTCTGGAACTAACCCGTTTATGTTATTGTTACTGTGACCAATCGCAGTTGTCTGACAGTAATATCGAAACAATAACCCACCTAATGTTTCACCTTTTTATTTTAAACAATGTATTTACTGGTCTTAGTTTAATCACATTCCCCCCTGCCCCCGTTTAAGAGTGGTTTAATTTGGGAATAATACGTTCACAAAACAAATATATATATTTTTCCAGACCCTAAGATTGAAGTAGACTAAATGAAAAAACTTTGAAGAAAAGAAGCTGAGTAACGTAGCTAATGCAGGAACAGTGATTACGAGAAGTCATGAGAGGTTCAAGAACTAAATTATCGATTACTAACGAAAAAAAGGTGATTGGAGCATTCTAAAGAAGTTCTCTCACCACTCCCGAATATTTCCCTGTACATTAGCCCACTTCTGTCTAAATAAGTTTTAATCAGTTCTGATACTTGGGATCCTAGTGCCTTTGCATAAATAGTGTCAAATAAACGATATTAAACGAATGCATCGCACTTGCTCTTGCTCCTGGTATGACGCTTGTGTGAATATCTTCATTTTCTTGAAGTTAATTGACTATATTTCCTTCTATATATTCAAAAACGTAACGTGTGTTCAAAACGTTAAACCCAAATACAAATCTGACTATGATTCTGACTGAGTGCCCCATTCTTATTGCGTCTACAAAAGATTCTACATAATTTAACTTTAATTTTTTTAAATATGATTCTATTGCGCTATTTAAAAGGGAATTTATGACATTTCCTTAGCTGTTCTACTTTACCTTTTATTTAAGTTAAATGACTACGAATCACTACAAATGAGTGACATTAAATGACACTAAATCAGTTAAATGACACTAAATCACTACGAATCAATGCATGGCGAATAGGTCAAATTGTCACAACTGCCAGTTAATATTGTTTTGAACTCCATCGCTTCCCTCAGCATCAGTTACTAAAGAAGAAGGAATATGTTAAATTTTGCCAGTATGATAGGATCTCATGACTAATTTTTTTTTTTTTTTTTTTTTTTTTTTTTTTTTTTTTTTTTTTTTACGTAAGAAATCAGTGTCGGCAACAAACAAGATTGTTAACCCTGCTACATTGAAAAGGAATTTTTTCTCTCTTTTTTGATATCGTCCTAATTTCTGTGTATCGTAGCTGAAGAAACGCATCGAAAGATATTAAAGATCCAAACGATGACAGTAGTTCCTTAGCTACTGTCATCTACTGAAGCCAATATTCATTCTAATGTTTTATTTTTGTTTAGAAAAATAAATCATTTGAACAAAGTTTTAGTAGATAAAGAATGTTTTAGTTAATTATTATTTATTTTACAAAATTTTAGTAGATTAAACAAGTTTTAGTGAATTGTTATTTATTTTTAACAGGCATATAGTTGGCTTAAAGATAGTTGCTTCAACAATCTAATGTCGCAAACTTGACTTCATAAATTACTTTAATTTAAAAAATAAATAATTTCAAATATGTTGGCTAAAACAATGTGCACATATAACATTTTCTTTTAACAAGGATGGAAAATCTCGTTCGGTCCACATTAAATAGGTCTGAAGTGATGGCATTAAATGGCCATTTGTCGAAAGTTCTACTTAATATCATTGTTTGAATTTTGAGCCTCAGCTATGCTAATCAGCTCACCAGGATGCGGACTCCTGATATGCTTCCAATTACACCCCAAAGGCATGCGGTAAGGAAGGAGAAAATTCCTTACACTCTTCCCCATTTAAAGGGCAACTGGGGAGGAGGCAACCCAATGGTGGTGACGAATTATCGTTCATTATATTTTTAGTTCGATTCTGGTTCCCCTTTAGAGAGACTTTGATTATCTAGAGTCGAGAAACATGAAAAATAAGCAATGTTGGAAAAATAATGTGCTGCTGAAATACGCGTTTTTCCGGAACTGTTATAATTTACTTTTGAGATAATTTTATGAGCATAATCAGTTGCTGACTTCGGTTTTTCTATTAAAAACATAACACTAGAATTAATTTCGCTAATATTTCATATTAATTAACAGTCATTTACGTCGTAAGTCAATCAGCCAGTGAATGCTAATAAAGAAATTTGCTATTGAATCGCTCCTTCTGTGCTTAAAAGTATCTGTAATCAGAGAAAATAAATTGGGTATGTGGTAACAGCAAAGTGATGGTGATCCTAAATATGTTGCTACATGGTATCTACAACGTTCTACGCTTTGCGGTAAGAACAGCATGGTATTCTCCCATTTAATATATACACATATAGTCCCTGATTTAGCAGACGTTCTGAGCAATATTATTACAACAAAAGAATCGATTTATTTCATTCAAGAAACGAGTGGCACTATGGATAAATTAAAAAAATTAGAAAATTTTTTTTTCGAATTTCGAGAAACCTGAGAGAAGAAAGTTTATCTGAAAAAGACTGTAAAAGAAATCTTAAGAGAGAATCCCCGTTGTATGCAATATCTTACACTCAAATAAAAACAACTGTGTTTAGTGTCTTCTACAATTTTAAAAGTATGAGAATATTTGGTGTTTTAATGCACTAAATGTCTATGGAAGTATATAATTGTGATGACTCCTTATGTGAAAGAAGTACTTTTTGGGGAGGGGATGCAGATTTCTACAACATACGAACACAATAGGAAAACTAACTTTTTCCCGTTTAAGTTTTTGACTGACAGGCTGTGAGGTCTAGAAAACTCTGACAATTATGCTTATTTAACTTACATTTAATCTAGAATCACGAAAATTCTATTTTTAATATTACCCCTTACTTAAATCGCTTAGGCAATATTAATAGAGAGCTGAAACAAGAACAGCTGATAAATCTTAGCTCTCAGTTTACTAAGAGAAAGATGTTTTTACTCTTAAGCTTTTAAGGTTTGTACTTTTTATATATTTACTATTTTATTAAATGGATCTTACATATTATAATTTTGAATTCACGAACATGTATTAGAAATATATACGTTATATTCGAAATACATTCAAATATCACTAACAGTATTCTAAATTTAAACGGTTTGCGAAATGTTAATTATAACCTCTCAAAATGATAAAATCATTCCTAACCTTGCATACATACATGGATTCTAAGAGAATAAGAGAACCAAATGTGCTTTTATATACCTTATAGCTGACATTTGGTTAATTAACTGGTTGAGCAGTTGCAAAATTATCTTAAATCAGTATTATATATGTAGTATACATATCGGTATGTTTCTCATATCCGTTTAAGGTTTTTTAGGTTTTCTAATTGCATGTATGACACGTATAGTATTTTCGCTAATTACATAAATTACATGAGGAAAATGTCATTAAAAGTTTTGCGCAGTACTTCTTCAATTGCTGGAATAGACGCTTTTTCTCCCCCCCCTTTTTTTTCTCAGACCATCGAAAAAAGCTCATATAGGCTGTATATTACATAGCAATTCCCATGTCTTTAAGAAGTAAAATGAAAAAGTTTAATTTTTAAGAAGTCAAATGAAATTTTATATAAGTTTTATGATTTTAGGAATTAATTTCAGTTTGATGAAAATCATTAAATTTCAAACCTACATGCTCTAATTAACGTAACATTTTCTAGACATATACGTAGTCAAGCAAAAATAAGAAAGAAAAGAGCATTAAAATGAGAGAAATTTCTGATAATATGACACACAGAAAGGAGATCACTATTAGGTCAATCCAGAAAACAAAACATAATACTAATTAAAATTTTTCTAGAATCGATTTATTTTTCTTTTAAATCTATTAAAAAGCTAAGACGAAAATCCGTCAAAAAAGTTTTCTAATCAGCAACGTTAAGGTTTATAAATTATAAAATCCGAAAGGAAGTAAAAAGAACATAGTTTGAAATAACAGTCTGAACAAATCTTTAGTTGTTTATTTTACGAGATAGAATTTGATAAAACATTAGTTTTTGCATGCAATAAAAAACTGTAATTAATTTTCATTTGTTTTTATACATTTATCGGGCTGCATGTTTATTTTTCTATGTATGTATTTTATTTATTTAATAAATTATTTATTTTAATACTCATATTAATTAGTTTCGTCTGAGGAAAGACATATCCAATTTATGCTATGCAAGATTGCCTGGAAGAAAGAAACAGAAAAATTAAATATACCTCACAATTTCCGACAGAAATTGCTTCTGCTTGGGTAAAATTGACAGCGTCTTAAATACTATCTTTCCAGCATCTCTGGTGTAAGAGAGGAGGCGGTATTATCGATTAAATGTCTACGAAAGACTTACCTTGGGTTCCCAATCCTCTTTCCCTTTCGTTAGCTCTCGCGAGGGAAAATTCCGTCGCGCAACCGAAATCATTAGGACTCCGCCCCCCGTAGTGCGAGGGAGGGGCTAACAGGTGCCTCCACCTGCGTCGGGGTGGCGCCAGTAGAGGCGGGGTCTCTTGACAGCCACCGGAGCCGCAGCGCCTCCCATGTGAACGGGGTGGTCGCGGCAGTAACGAGCGAATTCATTCGAACATCAACCAGTCATTCTCGCAGCAGTGTCGGCCGGCGATCATGCTGGTTCCCGCTGACATGTTAACCGCGCAATCGAAACTGTTGTATCAGCTAAATAAGTTTTATGGTGAAAGGGTTCAGACTCGTAAAGGGACTGTCGCAAAAACTGTTCGGGAAGTTTGTAAAGTTGTTCAAGACGTTCTGAAAGAGGTCGAAGTTCAAGAACCTCGTTTCATATCCTCCCTCAATGACTGCAATGGACATTTTGAGGGATTCGAGGTCATTTCTCCGTCAGAGTTCGAAGTGGTGCTTTATCTAAATCAAATGGGAGTTTTCAACTTTGTAGATGATGGGTCTCTACCTGGCTGCGCAGTTTTAAAGCTCAGTGATGGAAGAAAGCGTTCCATGTCTTTATGGGTCGAATTTATAACTGCTTCGGGATATTTATCAGCAAGAAAAATTCGATCTCGTTTCCAAACCCTTGTTGCTCAGGCCTGCGACAAATGTAGTTATCGAGACATTGTCAAGATGGTAGCAGACACAACGGAAGTCAAACTCAGAATCAGAGAAAGGTTTGTGGTTCAGATCACTCCAGCATTTAGATGTAGCGGTCTGTGGCCTCGCTCAGCTGCCCATTGGCCTATTCCACACATCCCCTGGCCAAATCCGAATCTCGTAGCAGAAGTCAAAGCCGAGGGTTTCGATTTACTCTCAAAGGAAAGCGTTACGCTTCAAGGAAAAAATTCTTCAATGGAAGGAGACGCTTGGGTTCTCAACTTCTGTGAGGCAGAAAATAGACTTCTCCAAGGAGGTTGCCGAAAAAAGTGCTTAAGCATTCTTAAGACGTTGAAAGACAGGCATCTCGAGCTTCCCGGCAACCCAGTGACAGGCTACCACCTAAAAACTCTGCTTCTCTATGAATGCGAAAAGCACCCGCGCGAGTTGGAATGGGATGAGACATGTCTTGGTGACAGGATCAACGGCATACTACTACAGCTCATCTCCTGTTTGCAATGTCGTCGGTGTCCGCATTACTTTCTTCCGCAGTTAGACCTGTTTAAAGGGAAGTCCGCCAGCTCTCTGGAGAACGCTGCAAAGCAGACCTGGCGACTCACAAGAGAGCTTCTAACAAATCCTAGATCATTGGAAAAACTTTGACAATGTGTGAAGAACATTTTATCGGGATTCGATGAAGCACAAATCTTGTCATATAAATTCTCTTGCGAGTAATACTAGATCATCAAATGATGAAATATCATGAATGTTATTTTCCACAGTGACGCAAACCCCGTGAAGATCTCCGTGTAGGAAGTTATCGTCATAGAGCCTCCTTTTATCTTGCTCCTCATTTCCAATGCTGTAAGTTCTATAACGGTAGGATAGAAATATTTCAAAAGATTTTAACTAGTTTTCATTAGCATTCAATCATTTTGTAAACAATTGATATCAACCAAATGTTCCTGAAGATGTTGTGTATGATAATAACGATTAATAATTTTTATGAAAATTTTTTGATAGATTTTATTATTAGTTATTAAGTCTTTTTAAAACGTTAAGATTATTGTGCAGTTAAGTTAAATTTATAAATTTATTTCACAAGTTTGTGTATTGCTTTTAAAATGTTATAGCGAGACTAGAATCAAATGTTTTAGTTTAAAATTGAAAGAGCAAGAATCTGTATTATCTAGTCTAACCTGTTGAAATATTTTCTTTTTTGATTTAAAACTGGACTTAACAGCAAGAAGCCATTGTAAAGCCTTATAGAAGTAACTGTTCATCTAGCGTTATTCAAACTTGGAATTTCTTTTTTATTCATGAAAAGTTTGAAAAGGAACTCAATGATTCAATTACTAAACTGATTTTTTTTTTTAAACTGTGAAAATGTTTTTTATGCTTAGCTCAGAATATTGTATTTAATTCTTATACAAAGCTCTTCATAGCGAATTATTAGAATGTAAAAGCTTAAATGTCTCGCAAATTTGTAAAAAGAAAGATGGTGTAAATAAATTATGTTGCTTAAAAGTTGTAGGATAGGTATTATTCTAGTATCATCGAAATCGTAAATTTTCTTATTTTAGAGTGTTAATTCATATCAAAACTTTTTTAATTGCTAATAACTTTTTAAATTATCTGCTAAATACTATTTTACATTATTTATTGTAAAGAGGAATCATTGCAAGTTTTCTGCAATGATGAAAACTTTATGTAACTATTATTATTACTATTATTTTTTAATTTCGTCTTCTTTCAATTTTTAAATACTTTCATGATTTTAAGCCTAGATCTACTTCTGTTGCCTTTAAAAAGGTGGATATTATTGTTTAATCCCCGTAAGCATAAGTTGGTATGAGGATATGACATTTATTGAATATTTAACACTTTGTGTCTGTAAAATATGTTCGCAGTTTATTTTATTTATTCAGTATAATTATCATCATCATCATCATCATCATCACAATTGTTACTATCACTTAAAAAATTTTGCATTTTTTTCTCAATGAGAAATTAAATTTTTTTTAAAACGACTGACAAAGAGCGAGAGAATAAATACCAGTTTTATGGTGAAAACCATTTGATTAAGTATGCAAATTTCTCCAAGCATAATGTAAAAGCTTCTATGAGTAATCATTTCAATGAAAATTTAATAATGTTTAGAACTCCACTTAGAGAGATAAAAGTGGAGGTAGACATCTTACAGAACAACTGTAATGTTTGCAAGTGAAATTTCGAATGTTTCTAAGCAAATATTTCAATTGTTAATAATAAGATTGTGAAGTTCATGTCAGTTTAGCAGTTAATGAAATATATTCTTGCAGTCTAAGTTAAGATCCACATCATCCCGAAAATAAAATAAGATGAAATAATGAAAATGAAATATTGTAACTAATTCCAAACCTGTATGTTAGTACTGGAAATTTATTAATCATAAATTCAAATGTAAAAATCTGACACGTCCAAACATTCAGTAATTTATCGTATATGTTAGAATTTTCATATACTGTTAATTTATTAAGTACGCCAGCCACATCATGTAACACTAAATTTTCTTATTCGCTCTTATTTACCTACACCAATCCTTCCTTAAACTCAATAACCTTTTCGCCTTATTGGATCGCTGACCTTAGAAAAGAGGCAATTATTTTCTTCCTTTGCATTTTTTATTACACCGTGTGCTTCTGCACTAGACACGGAACGGCATATCAATCATGCGTACTAAAGTGTTTCTTTAGAATAAATGTCTTTTATATGAACAAATTACGGATTCAATGATATAAAGTAATTGCCCTTTTGTCTGAAGATCAGAATTAAAAACAGATTTTTTTTTTTTTTTTTTTTTTTTTTTTTTTTTTTTTTTTTTTTTGGTCTAAAGGTTAGACATCTGAAATTGATATTTGACACTTGTTTATTTCATAAATATTTCCCTGATATTAATTCTAAAATTAAGATGTCTTATATATAAACATCGTGTGTTTACGAAAAGAAGTGTAGTTTATAAATTGCTGATTGGTCTAATTATTCGATAATCATTAACTTCTTATAGAATGACAATTAGGAGAGTCCAGATTTGTTTTTAAATAACTAATTGTTAATAACTATTTTAGACAAAAAAAAAATCTAGATGAGCCACAATTTAGTGAATTATACATTTTGACAACCAATTCGCAATAGCATAGATTAAACAACGAGCTTATGCAAAAAGATAATAATCTGCAGTAAGATAGCTTCTGGAGTATCGAAATGAACAGATATTTGGACTATGTGGTAAACTTCACGTCTGTAGTTCAAGCGTATTAATATATTAGACTCATATCAAATTTCAGTGACAGAGAATATTAATTTAAGGTACTTTTGAAATAAAGAATAACCAATATGTGAAGTCTAAAAATAAAATTTTGGCATTTAGAAATACATTTTTATTTAAACTCTCGTAACTATAAACATAAAAATCCCAGTACTTTTATTTAAAATATTTATTATGTTAGATTCTAATGTATGAGCATTTTTAAAGAAAATTTTATACTGTTTATTAGACCACAGTTTAATAAATTAAAACAATCAGGCATATAATTTTTGCATCTAATGTTTAAAAATAGAATTCTTTTTAATTAAAATTTTTACCTTGCTTACAAAATTAATTGCATAAGCTAATCCTTAAATCTCAACTGCTTAAAAAAAGTATAAATATGTGTAAATATGAGATGTGATAAGTAAATACACAAAAATAAAATTTGGAGACAGAAATTTTAATAAGCATTCGAATCTGAAATAAATGGTCAGTTGATAAAAACATATGCTTCGAACTGCGTAATATAAAATCTGAGATTAACTTAAATTAAAGCTAATAAAAATAATACCTAATATTTGCTTTATTTATTCAGAATATTTGCTAAAGCAATGATGAGTGATGCATCAGATGAGTGATGATGAAAATGCAGGAGACATAGAAGATAAGCAATATTTTGTTATTTTTTTTTCTTGACAAACGAAGAGTATAAAAAATTGCTAGCTTACATTTCGGATAGTAAATCAGAAAAATATTGCTAAATGCATATAAGAAAGCAACAGTGAAATAAAATAAAACAAAGATCAGGAAAACATTCCCGCTTGCAAAAGAAAATCTGCATCAATAAAGAAGGGGATTTGATTATTCATGTGAAGCCACATTGAAGAGGTATCTGCAACAGAAGTGCTTTTCCCTTCCATTATCTTTTTTCAAAGAAAAAGAAATTTTATCCCTTTTCGTCTAGGAACGTGGTCTGCATTAGCGATGGTCTCCAGAAGAATATTCTAAACACTGAGGTAACCAAAAGACTAACCTGTAGGGTAGGTATAAAGAGATTAACGTTTGAAAAGTCTTACTTTTATTTCATATGCATTCTTTGATAAAAAGGCAGACTTATGCGTGCCCCTCTGTGTTGGTGAAATATTTCTCCTAAGTCATAGGCTGACTACGTTATTCAACAATAGAAGTGCATTAAATGTTACTTTCTATTCAATATTCGCATTTTCAAGTTAAAAAAAAAAATCGCATTTCGAAATGTAATGCATATCCAGGAACTACAGAGTAACAGTTAGGTCATCTTTCAAAGCTAATTATGCTTTATTGTACGTCGTATTGATATAGGAATGATATTAGATAGCTATTTGCTTCTCCTAACGCAACAGTGAGTAAGATTTTTTTAAAGACATTATTAGCGAAATAAATCATTATAAAATAAAAATTAAACTAATTTTTTTTTTAAATTTATCTCTATTATTTCACCTGACACTCATTTTCTACAGAAACTACATAGACGTTATAATAATGCAAAATAAAAAATAAAAATTCCCTCTGTTATAAATTGTGGTAAAACTCATGTCTTAAGATTGGCCTGAATCTATATTTCTGTCGACTCGAGCTAGAAATTAGCATCTTTGTATGTAAATTATTGTCCTTCCCATATTATAGACAAAAGAACTTGATACTAAGACAACAGAATTTTTTTTTTAACTCAAGAAAGAATTCAACCGGAGTGAATATTAATTGAATTTGAAGTTTGAGTAAATAATCATTCATACGAATTAATTTGATTTGAGTCAGACTGCTCCTCACGTTCTATTTATTGCGTAGAGTTCTATTTATTACGTAGAGTTCGTGTTACCAGTTTTATTTCAATTCCTTTCCAGTACTGATAACGGTTAACCATAGCTTTAGGTTTTAATGCCACGAACCTTTAAGATAAGGTTTTCAAGCAAAAACCTTTCTACTATTTTTAGATAACATCCATTTATTTTAATCGGAAATAATAGGAAAAAAAAAAAAAAAAAAAAAAAAAAAAAAAGCTCTCAGAGATAACATTGAAGCCTAGCTTGAGACATGAAGTTAATTAACTAATAATTTCGAGTAGAAAGGTAAAAGGAATTCTGCATGTTTAATCTGTAAAAGTATTTCTGAAGTAGGTTTAGTCATCTTTCACTCTGAAATGTTTTCAACAATCTCGGAAGAAATAATGATCACCGTGAAACGAGAGTGTTTGAGGGACAGTGGAGGATTTTTACTTGGATAGTAGGTGTTTTACTGCAAAGTTTTGCTTAAGAATTATAAAATGTTTATGTAAAGCTAAATGAAAAGATCTTTTGTCTAAATTTTTTATAAGTATCGCAGCATAATATTTTTATATTATGCTGCGATACTTATAAAAAATTTATAAAAAATAAACCTACACAAACACAGTTAAATTTACTAACAGCTACATAAAAGCAATTTTATTAAAAAAATAATTGAAAAATGTTTTAACTGCCTTTTGCACCATTCATTCTACGTATGCTTTGCCTACAAACATAGGAATCAAAATTTATACAAAAGTAAGACTCAGGGAATATCGTAGAGGAATAAGAGCTGTAGAAAGCTTATATGAATAAAGTTTATACATAAACGGTATTTAAAATTTTTTGAAACTACCTTTTCAAATCTTTAACTTAATAATCGTAGGTGACGCAAATGATATCTCAAAACTATCGCAAGGA